AAACCGACATGATTCCCGTACTTCGCTTTACTTTTCACACCTCTATATTCATTATTACGTAAATAAAATCATTCAACAGGGATTTTAGATAATTTCGTGATGTACTCGAGAAATGGGCGGTTCAACCTTTTATCCCCCACAAGAGACGAAGACAACTTAAACTGTTTGCTGTCCGATTAACAATAAAACGTTAGTCTACCGAATCGAGAAACTCTATTGCCGTCTTCTATGGCACACCAGATGCCTTCTTACTTTTAAGATAAACAGTTAGCATTTTCTTCGACAGGAAATTTGTGACTCCCACCTTTCCTTATAAACGAATTATAAGTCTAACCATGGCGACTGTTGAAAGATTGCCAGAACTATTCAAATGGATAATCAAAAATGACTATCGATTTTTTTTAATGACAAATTGAACGATTTAGCACGTTATCGTTTCTTAATATTGACGGATATCGATGTCGAAATTTGTATAAGAAATGCAAAATAGAGAATGGATCAAAAAGGCATTCTAATCCCCAAGGCTGTGGAGTGAAGCAATAATATTGAAACAGTCTGTGAGTATGCGATGCCAAGTTACGATGGTAAGAGTCTGTGTGGTTGACTTTTAATTGCAGGGTCTGCTGCACAAGCCCTTTAGCAATTTTAGAATAAGAAAGGAAAGGTGTGAGAAGGACATTGCCGATTATGAACTAGGATATCTGACACATTATTGACGACAGCCTTTCTCCGAAACCCGATTTTCTCGTTTTCCCTCCCCATTCGAGCCCCTGAGAATAAATCCAATATACCTCAACATGATTAACTGGAGAAATCCAATCGAATAGGAATTCTTAATCATCACAGCAAACTGATAACTGACATAGACAATCCCTGAACAAAATATCAGAAGCAAAAAAAAAAAAAAAAAAAAAAAAAAAAAAAAAAAAAAAAACACACAAATAGGCTTCTCCAGGTCAGACGAGAATACTCTTTTCAATTTTTTGTGCAGTGACACACACGAGAAATTAGCGAGAAGTTAATCCTCTTACGGTCTCCCAACAAAAGAATTCTTCATTTTTTTTTTTTTTCGTGACAGAAAGGCTACGTAAGCAGGACACGATAACAGTACTGAGGCACCTTCAAGCACGGTACCTTATGTGTGCGACTTGAGTTTACCATCTTTCTGTTGAAAATGCATGGCATCGATGGGGAAGAAGAGAAGAAGCGTACACGTGACGACGGCGAGACGGCAACGCAAAAATACTAATATCAGTAACACTGACGGTATTAAAATATTTAGATGGACTAACCGCGTAATGTGACATCTTTAAATCCCTTGTCTTATTTGGCTGTAAAAACAAAGATAATTTCCGCTTTGTACGATATTGGCCCACCCACATTCATGTTGCCTTCTTGTTCAGGAATAAAATAAGAACCTGGAGAAATCATTAAAAAAAAAAAAAACCCAATTTTTGCAGCTGATCTGTATTTACACCAGAAACTGGCAAGTTGAAACTTTCATCGAAGGTTGTTCAAGTCTAGGGTTATTAACTATCGTTGTCTTGTTAGCTTGTTGCATTTCGTGACAGTCTATTTAAAAATAGGGTTGTTAATTCCAGCGTCAAGCCATGGTTGAGACGTACGGTGAGTGACGTCATACTAAAAGAGACCACCAGGACACTTTCTTTTGTAGAATATGAAAGTTATAATTGAAAATCACATTTAAATCACCGCATTCGTAAGGCTGAGAAGGCTAACTAAAAACTAAGGACTTAGAAAGGTATATTCATAATTTTGGGTGATAAACGGTGACCTACGGTTGGCACAAATCTTCTTAGCTTTAAATACTTGAGATGGGTAACTGTCACCCTAACTTTGTTAAAAAGAGCTCAAAATTTGTACTTATCAAAACACATTTTTTAATTATTTTTTTATTTCTTAGATTTTTTTTTTTTTTGAGAGACTTGCCGAAAACAGGGAGGTGCGTATTTTTAATAAGGTCCAAAGATAATATTTTCTATCCACTTCAGATGGGCTAAACGTGAAACTATGACAGAAATGAATGAAATTCAAACCACAGTATTTCAGCAAAACTGAAAGTTAAAAGTCAATTCACAAAGGGAGACTATGCTCTGTATGTCTACGGGTCTGGGCAAGCAACAAACTGTCATTGTTACTAGCTTATCACGTAAGGCATATATCAATCGTGTTTTCATTTGTCATAAAGAATGTTACATAGAAAATTCGAAAATACGGCGGTATAAGTAGTAAAAACAAATAATGGATTAAAAAAATATGAATATATAACTAAGATTACGTACACAGAAATCCATACGAGGGCAAAAATTTCCAAGTGGTTTACTAGGGAGAACATCACGATATGGTCTCTGTACTCAAGCAAACCTAAGCAAACTAGAATAACTTAAATGGATTGCCAATCACTTGCAATTTTTCCATAGCTAAGAGGGAGATTAAGCATTTTTAGAGCAAAATCCTAATCATCCTAATCCGATTTTATTAGTATACGATTTCTGATTTCTTTCACTGTATTTCTATGGGATTATACCGGGGAATTTTGCCTTTTCACGACTACCCAACAAGGAATTGAATTAACGAGACATCTTGTTGCGTGGCAACAATATATAAATAACCCTTATTGATCTACTTTACAGACCCTAAAAATTTCAAGGGAACAGAAAATTTCTTCACGTAAAACCAACCATTTTAATCGCTCCGAAAAGAAATGTTTTTGTCAAGTTATGTCTCTTTAGTAACCTGGCACGTGTAGGTAACAAGTTCAAGTGGTTTCATAAATCGGGCAGACTTATTGTTGGCTTATTATAGTTCGTTGTTATCTATTTTTGAAGTGAGCGCTTGGCGTTCCTTAGTGCGTAATGCCATGTAGGACATTGATGACAAGGCTAAAATGATAAATGAGGACATAAAACGACTCGCGTTGTTAAAACTGACCACAGACATTGACTTATTCGTCATAAAAAAAAAAGCTTCGAATAGGTCAGTGATAATGACACGGATAAGCAAAGGTCACCAATCTACATACTGATTCAATCCCACACACTATACACAGTTCTGACCGCCACAGACTGGGGGGTTTAGTTCAGATATCGAGATCTTATGTTTTGCACATCTCTTCACCCACGTCCATGATTTTCAGACAGCACTTGACCAAATGCACTGATCATGACTCAACCTGAACTTCGAATAAATTCTTTTCCACAGCGGGTTATTACCTAAGCAAATATTTGGGAGATCTGGTTTTTCCTTCGATATTTTTGTGTATTTATTGTATTTAAAGCCATCTGAAAATGCACTCAGCTTGGTGATTCGTTGACGCGTTTAGCAACCATCGATTGGAATAATGATCGGATTCATTAATTGATTATTTCCTTTATTTAACAACAAAAGATTGCCCTGATTGTTCTGGTATTTCCTTTGAATTCCTAGACACTCGAACCTACAACTAAGCACTAAGAACTAGACGAGATATCTACAAAAACAAGGATAACAATGGCATGAGAGCAGCTCGGAAATATTGCCTCAAACTGATTAACTCAATTTTTAGAGGAAATAGGCAGCAGACCTATAGGTTTGTCGAGTTTAAAATATTTCAATCGCAAAATGTACTCGGCGAAATTTCGCATGCAGCACAGATGCATTTCAAAGATAAAACGAAGGTGAATATTAAAAAAAAATGAAATTTATGGCGTCACCTCTTGATATGATTTTTTAAGGAAATTTTGCACTCAAAATTAAATTTCAAAGTAATGGCTCCTGTGCTTGCTTGAGTTTGGGGTAAATAATGACAAAGCAATCCAAATAACTTTGCTAAGCTTTTGTCGCTGGTCAAGAAAAAACCATCTCAATAATAACTACTGAAAGATCTTTCTTGCTTGTTTGTTTGTTTGTCGTTTTCTTTTTCAAGACATATAGAAGATTGAATGTTTTCACGAACAAATATAATTATTCTGAGTTTGAGAGATGTCACCTCTAAATGAAAGCAACCACAATAGACTAAATAGGTCAGTTTTGTCTTAAAAAGAGGTAAAAAAAATCACCATAATCTTAAAAAGTAAAAAAAAAAAACAAAACAAAACAAAACAAAACAACACACACAAAAAAACATCAAATCTGGCAACTACACAAGTGGAATTAGCCGAATTCTGACTTCTAAGTTGCTTTAAAATAGTAAACAAACGAACAATACCGAAGGGGCGAGATTTGTTCCAAAAATCATTATACATTGAAACAAAAACTGTGAACAGTTGTTTAATTGTGTATTCACTACTCTTGTCAGCTTAACACCTTGTAATTTTTTTTTAAAGCGTAGCGGTTGGCAAAAATCCTGGTCATAATGGCTTCTTTCGACGAAGGAGTACTTAATTGTCTTCCTTTTTCTCTTCCAGTGAACTGGAAATTCAAAGTTCACCGCGCAGCCTAAGTGAAAATATTTTTCCCCAGGCAGCAGATAACGTGTCAGAAGCGAGGTTATTGGACAGTGTTGACGTCTACACTTTTAAAAGATAACACGATAAGCAGTAATTAAAGAAATAACTCAAGGCAACAAGAGAAGTAACTTTAACAAGGTTATGCTACTTCGGCGTCGCGCTACACATGTTTGGAGAGATTTGGTGACTTATTCAAATTGCTCGAAATTAAGCCAATTTTTCTAGGCCTTGTGTTCAGGCGCCGGGCTGACTGGGTTCATTCAAGAGCTCATTCTTGATAATGAATTGAATAAACTAGGCACTTACGGCTGAAATCCTTTCCAAATTACACCCATCCGTTGTTTGCGTGTTACGCTCACAGTACAGAGAACAAATTAATAACATTCGAGAGAAGTTCAACAACGGGAAATTGACTCGATATGCCAGACAGATACTTGAACGCATGCGATGAGTAGAAGTTCAAACATGCGAAAATCATAGAGATCGCTATCAATAACCTGCAAACAATTATGCACAACACCTTTAATGTATTGAAATCGGGAGCAAACAAAGAACTCGCTAGACAAATAAAGTAAAGACAAAAATACACAAATATACACCATTCACAGAATAACCCTCGTGGTATAAAACAATTGACAAAGCTTAACTAAAACTCAATCTTCTACACCGGGATCAGGGATCTGACTACAAACGAGCCATTAACACACACATACAAACTCTCACTTTGGGAGCGTGTTATGTAAATCGCTGTTGACAGCTTGACCTGTTTTGAGTATGGTCGCGATGATAAATGATCAAGCTACCCCAAAGGTATGTTTGAAATGAACCAGCTTCTGGCGATAGGTAGTGATTAATGTCATTCGGTCATCGATTAGTGTTCGCGTGCTCAACACCGAGCACCACAAGTAATATATCACAGAGGCCTTCTCCTCCTCCCCCGGTCGTCGGCGGCGCCTGCGTGGCGAGAAATTTCCGAGTCTTTGTGACGGAAGTGGGAAAAGTGCGTTGAAAAGCGACACACATACGCTCAATTGTCATTATATAAGCCCAAGCTTGGACACTTAAGATGCAGTGAAGTGGAGGTCGTAATCGGGTTAGGGCTGACTTGACTATATTTTAGAAAATCGTTTTGGCATGTTGGACTCAACGCAAGGTAATTTGCGACTGTCGAGTTCGCTCGCGTTTTTACTCCTCATTTCCTCTGCTGCTGGTAGCGGCGTGGCACCGGGATTTAAAATACAAGGTCTGTGTGTACATAAAAGTGATTTTAGTGTTCAAAACCGCAGGAGAGCAAATTTACAGCCACTAACTGCGACATTATTTACTCCTAGGGAGCCTGGCTTCGTGCACTGTTGAGAACGCAGTCATAGACCTACCAATTTTGGCGGGAAATCCATGTTTTGTGTGCCGATGTAAGGTTAGTAGAAGCTCTGAGTTTTTCTTTTCAAAGAATTTATAACCAGTTCGTGACATCATTGTTCAGAGTGTTTCGATAAGAACTACCTACAATGACAACCTTGGCAGGAAACACAAGCGCGTCTATAAAAAGGCGAGCGAAGTTTTTATAGGATTAGGAAATGGACAAAATTGCTGTTCAAATTTCAACGTAAACATTCGGTGGGAGGAAGGCAAAGACACTTATTTACTTTTCAGATGGAAGAAAAATTATCACTGATAGCTGATGGACCTGATGATGGCTCATTCTGTCTAGTTCTAGTAAAATCATTGGCCACAGACGCGTGCAAATATTTAGAATATGTTCACAGAACACACCATCACTTGTCCAATTTGTCTGCCACAGTGCACATTAATTGAACATAAGTGAAGTAACACTCGCACACGGTTTAGCTTTTGTGTATATGCTCTATTTAGATAAATCAACAAGCTAAATAAAGAACGAGGCTCGCGTATCTAAACAGAAAACTCGACAGCTTGGTATAGTTTGTAAGTGGGAGAGATAACACAGAAAAAGAGTACCAAAGTGAGTCGAGAACTGATCAGCTCGTGTCCATCTTATCGAGAAGAGGTCGAGATTCAAATCATCATAAGCTCGTCAACATCAATTTACTCTTGAACTGTTTCGTAGTTGAATAGCTTCCCTTGTTGTTTAAAGTCAATTGGTTTCCGTTTGCTTTGCGAGAAACGTCAACTTCACAAAAGTACACTTTAGCTTGTCCATTAAATGACAATAGGCAAAGAGTAGAATCATTAACGCACTTGAGAATCACTCAGGCTACTACTAATGGCACAAGAAATAACGAGTGCTTTATCCAGTTTCGTTTCAGCAGATTCATTTTCAAATAATTTGAGAGAGAAATGCGGATTTTACTTTTGCAAGGACGAAGACACGATGCGATTAGCAGGCAAACACCTTGTCACGTATACTTAAGGCGATATTGCACGCTTTCTTTGCGTTGAGGTTACAATGAAAGGTTAGACGTCCTCATCGTCATGTCTACCACTGTATAACATGTGTTCTCGCTCGTGGTCAACTTTGTCCTCTTTCTCAGTGATCACGTCAAGCGGACAAAATTATTCCAAGGTTAAGAATTCCTAATATAGACGTAACTGAATGATTTCAAGGGGATGAATTTTCTAGTGGAGAGCATAACTTCTCTGAACAGCCTCGCCCGTTCCTCTGATCTGTCAATACCTGAACAAAAATGTCTTACTTTCGTGGGAAGAATGAGCGTCATAGAGCAGTTTTTAACTGAAAAAGGGTCCGTCGCAAACGTTCCGTAGACTATTAATCGGGAAAAAATGCGGTTTGGTTGATCATTCTCGCCTCAACTCGTTGTGGTTGACGAATTTCTAAATACATGCCTGAATATAATGAAAAGAAAAAAAAATCTATCCCTAGTAACTCTTGCCGTACAAAGACATTTCGAGGTTATGTCTCAACAGCCAGAATGCCTCCATAACGAAGGCAAATTCAATTCCATAGGAAAGCAAGAGGTTGGGTGTTTTGAAACTTAATGGTTTCAGATATTTGAAGAATGCGAAACTTCAGCTAGGGAAAGTGAAATTGAAAGACATAACTGATAAAACAATCAAACTGATAAATAACTGACACTAGAAGCCTAAAACGAACATAGCAGACAAGGTTGATAGCTAAAATACTTCAAAAGGCGACTTTGAAAATCTGTTTCGGCAACAAAATAACTCCAGTCTTTCACAAATCCGTCGAAAATCCTCTGCAAAAATAATGAACATAAATTCGGTTCAAATTCTCCTTGTTTCCCATCCTTAGTTTTCAATACCTTTTAATCATTTTAGCTTTTTTTCAATTAACAACACGTTCCCCGTAACTTCAGCCGTTGCTCCAGACAGAAAAATAAATTAATTGCATTTCAGTCAGAGAGAACACGATATAATTTAATTTTGACAATGTAATTCATGACTGAGTTGCTTTCATCCATCTTTTCATCCAAGTCACTCAGGTCAAAAGTGATTGATTGGCACATTTCCGAAGGTTTTCTTTCAGAATGATTGGCAATTTTGAACTTCGTCTGTTTCCCATTTCTTCTTTAAAACAAAACGAGAAATCACATGCAAGATCGTTATCTCACTCTTTCCTTCCTAAGATTTGACAATCTGATATCGTTTCGTGTGTTTTGAGTCACAAGTCCCTGGTCTATCTTATGTTCTCCTCTTTATTAACGTCATCGGCAACAAGATTAAACACATTTGCGCAGATTGTATGATAAGTTACCTCACAGATGTATCTCTTATCAGACTAGGACTCAATTATTGGATATGACATGCTAATACAAAACCCAATTTCACCTCCTACATTATTGCTGAAGATAATTTACATAACTAAAATTGTATCAAATATTTGAGTCCCATGAAGTCGCATGCAGAAATATCCTAAAACACATGGATTTATCCCAAAGAAGCGAGTTATGAGCTGATTTCACTTAAATGACAGCCATAACATGAAAAAGTTCTCAATCGTTTTCGTTATTTCCACCTTTTTGCCTTACCAACGGATTCCCAAGAATCAATTTTGAAAATAAAGAGAAGGAATCTGACCCAGAAAAATTCACACAAGATAAAAGCAGTGTTTGTTTAACCAAGTGAGTTTTCGTGCAATTCTTACGTCTAAGAATCCTGCACACCTCATCGTGGCCACAGAGACGGGATGTGCAAACAATTTTGAACCCAAATACGGAAAATATCTGAACATTAATCACAAAAAATGTTATAGTAAAACAGATTGCAACTGACAACAAAACAAATCTTGTTAAACAACGCGGAAAAAAAAATCGTGATCCGTCGAAGTGAAGTTTCATGTGGTTTGGTGTCACTTATCGCATCAAGGAGGTACCCACAAGCAAATTAAGAAAATCTCAGCGGTCTTCCTTTAAATAGCGTTGTGTTAACGTGGTCAGGATTTTTCTCAAGTGTCCGTTATTTTCCCCGTTATCTCGTCAACATGCTCCAAAGCGTTTTTAAACAATGGAATTTGTATTCCTGGAGACTTGTAGTAACTTTAAGTTACAACTAAATCATAAACCAAAAGTCCAAATTGTGCGTTCTACCATAACAGTTTCTGAGATGGAAGAATTTCCCGAATGTTGGCCAAGTTGCAGAAATTACAAATTGAAATCATTAAAACTTGCAACTTAGAAATGTTGTGTGAAATTCAGTCAAGTCATAGATCAAAATGAAGAAGTGAGGAATCATTATTTTTACAACGTACTACCGCGATTTAACAATTGAAAATAGCCAGTGAAATCAAAGAAAGACATCACAAGCTGATTAGCATATGTTTCGAAACGGGTAATTAAATAGAAAACTTTATCTCGGGGTCTATATTTTCAGTGCGTGCACAGTGTTACTACTCCCAAACAAACAGCAAAAAAAAAAATACTAAAATCCTAAAAAGTAATACGCGAAGTAATCAAATTAAGTGCCACTATGTGGTACCATTAATGACTTGCATGAGGAGTCTTTCGTGCGCAGCATGACAGTAAGAAGATGGGGGCAAGGAATAAGTCAAGTGCTTCGATGTGGTACTTTTTGCTCCCTTGCAAGGGATCTTGATAAGTTCCCATTGGGCCGCCCTTAATATTGCAAAGTACTGCAGGAGGTTTTGATATATGAAAAACAAGGTCAGAATATCTTTGCATTTAGGTGCTTGACCAGGTTGCTGTTTTGTGCGCTTTTTTTTGTTTCTTTCGCTAGTTAATGACCCTTTTCAGTACAATGGGAGATTTGTGAAAATGCAAGTTCTTTAAACGTTTATTCGTATGACTTATAAGTGCGGCCTGTAGTTAATAATTCATCAAGTGAGAGGACGATATTATTGAATATTATTGTCCAGAGTTGTCCTTCATCCATCCAAGAAATTCGATTGTTCACCACTGAAACCGTCTGTTTCACTGTACGAAATTGCATGCAATGTCTAAGTTAGATAGCAAAGAGCCGAAATGGGACCTGAGGAAGAAGTACAAAACGATTTCAACTAATACGTATCAAGTCTTTTTGCCGTACCAGTAAGGTAGCTCTTCCGTTTTAAAACACCGATATTTTACCTTGAGAATGATGACTAGTACATAAAAGGACCACTTACTAAGTTTCCTTGTTGTTACAATTAACAGCAACGATACCGCAAGAAAATGTCAGTTATTTGGATCATTACATGCCTGCGGTTTACTTATTGTGGTGGTGGTACGAGGGTTTGAGCCGAGGAGAAAAACAACTTATAGGTCTATAGCCATTCGCAAAAAGCTGTTGCATGAAATGGTGCCCTTCCTTTAGCTATCTGTAAACATGAAACACGATACAAGTGTGTTTAAGCTCTTACGCTGCCAAATAGTGGCATCGGCGATTCAACTGTCGTTGAAAAGCAAGCAATTAGTTGCCAGAATCTTGGCACTTGTTCACTTTGTTGGGGGCCTTTTCTCTGTTTTGACGTGTCATGTGCCTCGTATTATCAACTACACTGTGAGATATAACGATATTGGCTCAATGGTGGTATTCAAATTCAGACAAAACAACATGAAGTACCTCAATTTATTTACCTCGAATTCCGTACTGCATGCAACATTCACATAACAAGTACGATGCATGGCTCAGGAAATCCACTGCCAAGTTCAATTGGCAGTTGTCACTGTTTAATATCTTGCAGGAAATGTTTTTCAGGAAACAATTATTTATGTAGATCAGAAAGATATTTCAATTCAAAATACAAAAAGGGAAAGATGGGTAAGATCTTCGAGCTAAAGCCGGAAACTTCTTGGAATCTCCTTCTCCGTCAGGTCTTCTTTAAAGAAACCGCTACAGTAACTTTACTTTTAGTCAGACAGACAATCAAGGAAGTGGAAATTATCATTTCTTTATCGATTAAGTGGGAGTCAAACCTTTGCTTCCCTAACTGCGATCCTTGACAATATAAACTGATTAATGGTGCCACTGGCGCCCTTTATTCTCAGATGAGGTGACATACCAATTCAGACTTGAAGGATATGGTGGACAAAGTTCAACAGTTGTCTAGTCTCTCATTTCTTATCTGAACGAACTGAAACCCAAGATCACTGAGCTAACAAAATCTAGATATCTGTCACAGTAAACAGTTAAAAACTGAGATTTAGAAAATTGCTAACAAATGAGTGTCACAACACAACTCTGCAGGTTATACCACCCTCTCGTTTCAGTCAAATAAAGCGCCTACATATCAAAATAACTACGTGAATATATTATGAGCCGACTTGAACGAAACACTCAAATTATTCCTTCACTAAGGGAGAGAAACTTAAGAAAGGTGATCCTGATGAACGTTTGAAGAACAAGTAACGCCTATGGAGAAATCAGCATCGAAATTCTAAGCAATAACACCCTTGCATTTATATCGGTGTCCCTTAGCTTTCCCCTATATTTGCCGAAGTAATCACAAACCGTCAAATGACCCTAATTTGTGATCGCCGAAACGGTTTCATAGCTTCAGACATCAAGATGGTTAGGCAGCTCCCCCCTGCGCCCCCCCTCTGTTGAGACCCCATCGTTTTTGCCGATCAGCAAGAAATGATATTGGCTGTAGTTGTCCAAGTCAACGCACATTAACTTCAAGTTAAGGTACTGGTCCAATATTTTCAACACAATCTGATGATTAAGTTTGAATTATGTTTTCATTTGAACAGCTAGTCAGAGGTGAAGAACTCAGTTATATCTTCCTGTACTGATCCATTTGTTCCCAGGTGCAAGGCGCATGTGTAACTGCATCTTTAGAGATTTTCTCTTTCACAGCTTCGCACATGTATGGAACTGATTGTAACTATTGCTGTACTGGACTGGTCAATTGATTTTCGTCATGAATTACTTGTAGATAATATTGGCAGCGTCGTGAAGCGGCTATCGACACGCGATGACAAGTACTAAACGTATACATGACGTTGAAGTTTCTAGAAATTCGCCCTCTTTCGCGAGAAGGATGATATCACGTGAGAACTTCCACTCTTCTTTTCAAGTTCTCGCTCACGCTGAAGTTATGAAGAATTTATTTGCGGGATTACTAGTCAAGGGGAAATCGATAAAAACTGTGCGCTATCAGTAATAATTTGAGTAATTCTCGTTTATTTTCAGCGCGTTTAAATCTAATAATGCTCCGCGTTACTGGAGCATCTTAGGGGAATATATCACGATATTTGGATTTGTTCTCTTCTATGTGCAAAATTACCCTCAACGCAATGGGAAAATGTGCTGTACGACAAAAAAGCAAAGACCAGAGTTGGATGAATAACTCCTGACGCGAGAAAGGATGGCCAGGGATTGAGAGGGATTAACATCGCATACAGTCGATTTAAAAAAATTCACGCTAAACTTTTGAATATATTTATACATGTACAGCGACGTAGCTCCTGAAGTTTCGATGTCACTAGGTACAATCTGCTGCAACTTTATACTCTTGTGTGAATCAGTGCCTTTCTTTTCGCTTCTCTTCATTACGACACCTACCAAATGATATATGGTGTTTAGGGAAACGTGGGCAACCGCATAACCGATTCAATAACCAACACCCTTTAGCCTTAAGGGATGATCTTAGCTAACATTCTAATGATGCCACAAAAATTAGTAAGGATTTCTTATTTATGGAATCATTCATATCATTTGAATTCTTATCTGGCGATTCAGCTAATAATTGGTTTCGTTAAATAAGCGTGCCACGCAAACAAGATTACAAAGGGCATAAATTTAGAACGAAAGGGGTGGCGTGGTGGTTTAACGATCCTGGGACAACGGTACCCAACTCCTCTCCATTTCTTTCTCTAACAGCTAAAGCACGGAAAGGTACTAACTACTTGAGGGTGAAGTTTTGAATATCGTGGCTGTTGCACCTTGAAAATCTACCAAATATATTTTTTTGACGTTTTTTCAAAGCGAAAAGCAAATGACTCCTTAGAAGATACTTAACAATGCTGGTTCACTACAATAGACAAACAGCACAGGGTCAACCCAAACAGAACAAGAATAGTTAAACAGAAGATTATCCCGGATTGCAGTGTGACAAGATTGGTAAAATAAGCTTTCTTGGCTTAAGCGGTGTCTGGATACGACTGGGTTACAAGCTTAAAACAATCTTGATTCAAAACTGATCTCTTCGCCATAGAGATTGTTATAAGGCCTGAGCTTGTGACCAACGCAAGATCTACGGTGACATCTATAACAAAAGTCAGATGTTGTGAAAAAGTACTATTTGGTTCATCTGGCGGTCCCTCAGTGATACCAATACCCTAGATCCTCAGAATATAACACTTACCCCGGAAACGAGTGGGTCTGGGATATATCAAGGTTATCTAAAAGTATATTGGTTATCTAAAACTATTATGTGAACGATTTTTTTAATACATTTTTCACCTTTTTTAGAACAAATCTGTGGAATGTTCGCGCGAGATCTGTCCACGGACGAACACATGCAAGGGAACTCTGAAGAGAGAGAAAGGCAAATGCTGCCCCGTTTGTAATGAAAACCAAGGTAATAACTCTCCTTATAAGAAATAAAGAGTTTTCGTCACTTTGGGTGTTGGTGGTAATCTTAGGGGGGAAAATTGCAACGCAACATTTGCAAGGGATATGAGTGCTTTACGTCCCAAAGCTAATCAGATACAAAAAGAAATGACAGAATTGAAAACTAAGATATTCAGGCCACCATGAAGTTGTCAAGAAAAAGAAAGATAACAAGAAAACAACGTTAATTGTTTCCATCAATTTTCATTTAAGCTCTCTCATTTCGAAAGTGCGTCGTAAAGCTTACGGTGTGGCAGAGCAAAGCTATTTGACGTACTTTCTTATGAAACTCACCGACCATTTATAAAACTCGGTGATCAATTCGCCCTGTCAGAAAAATGGAATACGGCTCTAAATGGAATGGAATGGCTCTAAAGCCGGATTTTTAAATTTGAAAGTATATTCCATAAGAAAATATTTGTTTTTAGCAAATCTTTGTTACGAAAACACTCACAAAAAAAAGCTTGAGACATGCAAACCACGCTGTTACGTCTGGTCCTCCAACTTTCACGATGCGCTTTTTTTTCTTGATTTTTTCGTTAGGTTTTGTTTATCTATTTACTTATTCATTTTTGGGGGGAGTCTTCCTCTACGGCACTAAATCAGGATTCATAAAGTATAGAGAAAAAGAGCAGCCTTCCGTAACATCGATCGAGGTCGTCATAGGTCTTTTTTCACACGCAACACTGTAAATTCTTTGAATTTTAACATCCAGTGCTAAAGATACAATCAATCCAAAGTCTTGATGAGTTTTTTCAAATAAAAGACTTGGCCTAAGTGTTTATTTCATCTTGAAACGTATACATCTTTCAGTAAATCTTTCGATTGGAAAGGCTTGAAAATTAGTTCCTCATAACCTTTTGGTCTTACCCACTTTCGAGAAAGCTTTGAAAATTACAGTTACCTAAACAACCCGCGTAAGAACGGACTTTGGAATGAACAGTTCAATTCAAACATTTTTTATGATTTATTCTAAATCATAGTTAAATAGACGTTTGTTTGCTAGTGTTTAGCCCGAACAAATATTTGTTTAGATCTTGAGTCATTGCGGCTGTCCCATTGAAATCGCATTATAAAATCCGCTTACCAAGCTCTCTTTAATCGTAAACAGAAAAAAATCCAAAATGTCTCCTTTTATCTGAAACACCTACTTGGCAATTCCGATCCTCTTGAAACTACACCATAATAGCCTTTGTTAAAACAAATCATTTCTTATGCCGACATATGGTCGGCTATAGCGATTAAATGTGCTTGCGGAGAGGTGTTTGATCCTACCGCCCGTGGCGACAAGTCGACTGTGGCGTTCCTCTAAGTATTTCCTCTGTATCCGTTAATTAGACACATTACTTCATACAAGAGCTTACATGAAGAAATTAAATTTTGCTCAGTTACGACCTTACCTCATTCTATTTTCAACCACCCAAGAAAAAATCTCTTAAAACTCATCGTGTTGCGTCGCTGGATGTTTCAACCGCGCATTTCAAACAGCTATTTCTTCAGCTTGCGATAAATTACGTTTGAAATTAAATTCACAGCTCGATTTAATCTGCTAATTTAATTATTGAACAAACAATTATGGCCAAGGAACCCTGAAGCCTTACTATCGATATAATTGACCGCACAAATAAACATTTCACTTACCAGTTTTGATTACTCAATTTAACTGACTGGCTCCTGACAAATCTGAGACACATTAATATGCTACAATCTTTTTTGGATCATTGATTAAATTCTCTTACTGTTGTTACGTTTTCATAAAGGTAAATAGCTGGCAAAAGCCTTGAGTTAAGATCGCTTCAGCGTCATCACTGTTTCGCATTAAAAGTAAATCACAGGAACTGAATTTGTTGCCATCCACCGCAGAATTTATCTCATTTCCTGACACGATATTTCATGGCCCAAATAGTGCCCGAGGGAGGGTAAATACAGATAAATACCACAATACTCTTAGATTAAAAGTTCAACACAGGCGCCTCGTGGTCTCCGCCATTGTGTGATCGTGATTTACAAATGCATTCGTGTTGATGTACAAACAGGCACTAAAAATGAGATGATGACAAGCTCCATCATTCAAGCTTTGCATCTTTCCTTTTGCTTGAGTTTCGACAGTAATTATCTTTACAGAAAAGTGACATATGCGAGGTTATGCGCCAAAACGTGTCTCTGAAAAGTCCTGCTGAGTGTTGAGATGTCTTCTTATCTTTCTTCCAACAAGAAGAGTTATAGTTTGGAATAGCAAAATTCAAAATTTCACTTCATGGGCTGATCCAGGAATGATCGAGAGAGTCCAAACTTTGATTCAGAAAACACAGAGACTCTGTTTTACAGTAAAGGCCCTAGGGCCAAATTAAGCTCGAAAACATTTCAAGAAAAGTAAATTTTACACACTTCATAATGAGTGTAGGTCGGCAGGCATTGCACCGCCCTCACGGGAGCCTGACCGTCCGCCTTAACATAAAAAAAAATTATAATGAGTTGTAATATACAATCCTGTCGTTGCAACGATTCGATGCTCGGAAGGAGAAATTCAAGCGTAGTGCCTCATAAATTTCGAAACGACGGACGCTTGTTCTATGATAACTCCGCCGCATTCATCTATTTAACGGAAG